ACTAAGGGTGTATCCACACTGTAGAAATAACGCAGTTTGACACCTATATAACTGCCATTACTGTCCTACAGCATCCTGGTATTTGTAGTTTGGTGAAACGGGTGTCATGGGGGGGGGGTTCAAGCTGCATCAGGTGACACCCTAAGGGAGGGTTACACCACTGCTCCCAAAAACATCTGCCTTTGGTCAGAAATAGGCTTTGGTGTTTGCCTGAATCCATTTAAAATACTGAAGAGATGAAGTTAATGGGGTGAAGTTAAGCTGACAGAGAAAGGAGTGGCCCATAAAAAATATGTTTAAATTGTCATTAAAACCATGACATCTCACCAAATTTTCACTTTAATCACATGAAACTATGAATTTATAAATACGTTTAGCCTGTGTGTATGATACTATAAAGGGATAATTTTAATTTTGTTCATTGTTTATGTCACAACTATTGCCATTGCGATACATGGGAATTATGAGTAACATGAGTACAAAAAATGTGGCTAAGGATTCTGTATGGTGTGGGATGGGAGGAGGAGGTCAGTGAAAGGATGAGTTCTCTGACAGACCTCCTCAAACTACAGATTCCAGGATCTCACAATGCCTGACACTGACTGTGTCTGAAGGGTGCAGCTCAACAAGATGGAGCCATAAGAGTTAAAAGTGGTGTCAAACTGCAGCATGGATGTGTCCTTAAAGAAGGGCCGGCCTCCCTACGGATTTCAGGCTGGTTTCTATCTTTAAAAAAATTCCACCTTTAGTGCAGAAGTAGGGCCTAAATACCCTGAAGATCCTGTCTGATCTTGGCAAAGCCACCTCTGAGGATTCCTTGCCCAATCCCAGCCTTTGTTGGCTCTTTAGAAATGTAGTTCATGGTGGACTCAAAACCAGGCTTATCATAGGCACTTTTAAACAGGACAGTATTGGGTTGTTTTCATATTTCCAGACCGTCCTGTTGTTTTAATGTAAATGTCAATTTTGTCTCGTTTTCAAGAAAAATGCCCTGTTATGTTGTGAAAATGGTTAGAATCATAGAGTTGGAAGAGACCACAAGGGCCATCCAACGCCATTCTGCCGTGCAGAAATTCACAATCAAAGCACACACACACACTGAACAGATGGCCATCCAGCCTCTGTTTAAAATCCTCCAAATAAGGCAACTTCACCACCCTCCAAGTCAACAGTGTGTTCCATTGTCAAACAGCCTTTACTGTCAGGAAGTTCCTCCTAATGTTGAGGTGGAATTTCTTTTCCTGTAGCTTGCATCCATTGTTCTGGGTCCTGTTCTCTGAAGCAGCAGAAAACAAGCTTGTTCCATCCTCAATGTGACATCCCTTCAAATACTTAAACAGGGATATTGTATCAACTTTTAACCTCTTCTCCAGGCTAAACATACCCGGCTCCTAAAGCCTCTCCTCATAGGGCTTCATAGTTTCCAGACCCTTCACCATTTTGGTTGCCCTCCTCTGGACATGCTCCAGCTTATCAACACCCTTTTTGAATTATGGTGCCCAGAACTGGACACAATATTCCAGGTGAGGCCTGACCAAAGCAGAACAGAGTGGCACTATTACTTTCCTTGATCTAGACACTATAATTTTATTAATGCAGCCTAAAATCACATTGGCCTTTTTAGCTGCGACATCACACTGTTGACTCATGTTCAACCTGTGGTCTACTAGGACTCCTAGACCTGTTTCACATGTAGTAGGTTTGAAGATCCCTGTTTGAAATTGTGGTTGTAAAAAAAGTGTCATGGAGTGGCATGAGAAGTTTTATGATAAGGAAATTTGCTGGGTAAGGTGACTTCATGGGAGAAATATTCGTGGGACAATTGTGGTGAAATATAGTCTCCCTCTTCTGAGTTCTGTCCCTGAAGAGTCACGGTCAGCTCCATAGGTTCAGGTAATGAGACTTTTGCTCTCGCCTCCCTTTGCCATGAATATGGAATATCCTGTAATGCAGCCCCATCCCATTTTTGCCATCCCCACAGTGAGACCTCTTTGCCTCCTCCTTCTCCTTGGACTCTGAGACTCTGGAGGTCCTTCCCAGGTGGGCCTCTGTAGGGCAGGGGTCCCTTTCGGGGGTGTGCTAGTGTTGGGGGGTTCTGCTTCGACCAATCTCTCCCTCTGGCGGTTGGGCAAGTGGGCAGCGGGACTGGGTGGCCCCCTCACTGCCAAATGGAGGACCTTCCAGATGAAGGGAGGACATGACCAAGGGCCTGAACAGACTGCCAGAAATAATGCAGCTTGAGACCACAGTAACTGCCCTGGCTCAGTGCTAGGAAATCATGGGAACTGTAGTTTATTGTGGCACCAGAGCTCTCTGACAGAGAAGGCTCAATGTCTCAGAAAAAAACTACAATTCCTATGATTCCCTAGCATTGAGCCAGGACACTTCAAGTGGTCTGAAGCTGGCAGTCTGTTCAGGCCCCAAGTAAAAGCTAAAAGCACGAGTGTAAATGCATGCTTCATAGTGATGCTCTAAATGGAGAATGTGTTGGAATTCCTCCTGGACAGAAAGTGGAAAAGGAGGAGGTGCCTAGTCCCAACTCTCTTGTCCCAGGACACAAAAACCACTCAAAAACCCTCTCTCTCAAGAACACTAATCCTGCATCCTTCCTCCCCCCCAACACTCTCCTCAGGTTCTAAGTCTGCAAGGCTGTGAGGGCAGCACCTGAACTAACCATGTCCTCCAAGTCCTGCAAGGCTGGGAGGGCCTCGCTTCATCGCTATTGAAACCAAGTGCAGTCAGTTTGGAACTGGTTTCAAGTGGGAACGAAAGACATATAACCCAATCAGCAATTCGTTTTAAATCATAGTGGGAATGAGGTCTGGTTGTCTCCTGGGTCCTGGGATTTGTAGTTCAACCAGAAGTGCCAGAGAAGGACTCTCCGGACCCTGAAATCCCAGGGGGAGCTGGGGGTCTTAATTACCGCCAAGGAGGAAGGGGCACCCCAACAACGGAGGACCTTGCAGGAAAATGTAGGATGTGACCACATTAAAAAAAGCTCAACATATAGAAATATACATTCCACTTCCTAGGGTTGGTTGGTTGGTTGGTTTATTTATTTTCTAGTCATGGGTTGTAGCAAAATTTCCAGGAATCAGACCAGGGAGACTCAGAATTCGAATGAAAAGTCAGCAGTTTATTTAAGCTGCAGCAGGTCTCCAGAGGAATATAAATTCCAAATTCTGGAGCGCCAAGGCTCAGGTGAACTACTTTTTTATAGTACTTTGAACAAAGAAACTACAAGTCACAGTATGATTGGTTACATTTCATATACATTTTCTTGGCCCTGGTGGTACTCTTTATTGACAGCTCTCATTTTTGTATATTTTCAATCACTGTCTCCATATGTCTCTGCACAACATCTTTGTTTTGGGTAACAGTCCGTACCAGGACACTAAGGACCTGAACAGACTGCCAGAAATAATCC